TTTTATTCTGTGTCTTACAAAAGGGCTGTTTGTTCGGTATACTAAAACTCTACTGTCGCAATAAAATAAGTTCCCATAAAAATAGGGAATGAAATATAAGAGATGCGAGCAAGTGAAAAATCGCGGCGCGCCCGAACGAGATCGCGATTATTCGAAAGACCGACTAGCTTACGAGACGTACTCTTGTGTACAAGACAACTTCATGCCTCGGCACCCTCCCGATAAAACCTAGCCCACCCAGCCACCATAGACCCTGCCGTGACTAACTCGGGGACGAGAGTGATCGACGAACCAACGAAACATCCAAAATCAAGCCGAGGGTCCCTAGCGAGGCCTTGTGTACGGTCACGCAGGCCCCTGCCACATAGGGGAGAAATTAATCATCCCATGGGGTCTGACCGTAGACCCATATGCAATGTCCAGCTACAGGACCCATACCCCGGTCGTACACGCGCTGGTGCCCAGGACGACTAAGGCCGACAGACCCTCGGATTGACCGAGATGAGTGCCAGCCCGCCGACGACCCTAGAACCGATGCGCGACAAGGGTGGCAGTGGCGAGGATGAGTGTCATGATCATCAGATGTATTCATGTTATGCATATAAAAAGTGAGATTTACTGAACAATAATTTTGATGCCGATTATGCATGACCCTGCTAAATTTAGATGCCACAAGCAATGGCAAAAATTGTTTCTTTTTAGAAAAAGTCACATTTTTTGGAAACTGATAGTACAGTATCGAATACGGGTTTGTGTTCAGGACAGTAAAACAAGAATTACCTAATGGATATTTCATATTACAAAAAATCTTAAGATTTGTTGTGATTTGACAGTGTGATTAATGCCAGTGGACATTATCTTTTTAGAATCTGAACAAGGAAGACACAGTAAAACCCTTATAGTAAGACATGATCGATTGTCGATAGTAAGCTGTAATGATGTTATAGATGTATTATACATCCACGGTCGGTATATTCTATGCTCTACAATTCCTCAAGTTACCGATTGCGTCGGTGCACAAATTATCTAAAAAGTATTTGTGACTAGTTACCTTTTATCGGTAAAGTTGAAAATAACATTGTCATGATAAAACTCACATATTTTCAAAATTTAAAATAAAAACGTATATAGAGAAATCGATTTATTTATATGCACATCTTCTTTGTTAAGTGTATCCTATATGCCTTCTTACTTTCATCACTGTGTAAAAATGTGAAAGAACCTTTTGTCATGGATGATAAAGACGAAAACTATTGTATCATAAGAAACACGAAAAAAGCGTCAGTGTGTGTTTAGTTTACGTTTGCATTGAAAATTGTGTTTATAATCCGTTAGAATTTTGCAGTAGATATTTTTGAATAATTTGAAAATCTACAAATGAGGGAAGAATGTTTCAATATTTGTAATAATAGAAGATTTTAAAAGAAAATAATTACAAAAGAAACCCGACATAATGTGGTGTTTAGTAGACGCAACTGGTATTTTTGTTTTAAATTGTTTTACTTTCTAAATATTTATTATAAATGCTATTGAGTGCATTTTGCTTTACAGGAAAACGTTTATATTTCAAACCAAATAAGAGTATCACATTTGGTAGAAAGAAGGCTGACATCGTTTTGCAAAATGACGAATCAATTAGCAGGTTACATGCCTCTATTTCTGTCATACCCGAAGATTTCATACCGGTATGTTTCGGAAATATGTATTGGTTTTAATAATTGTAAGATGAAATATTATTTATGAAATAAATATTTTCATATTGTTGCAGCTGGATGGACCCACATCTATATGTAAATTAAAAGATTTAAATTCAAAATATGGTACATACATTTTATATGGAGAGAAAACGATGGAAGTAACTGCAGATGAATACATTTTCAAGCACAATGATGTGATAAGATTTGGTTTGCAGCATCATTTATATACGTAAAGCTTCAGTCCTTATTTCTTATTTATCCATGATCTATAGACAAGTTCTTATTGAAGATATTTATATGTTAGGATAGTAAGTGTACCTATAATAATAGTCACTTCAACTTTAAACGTTGATGATAAATCTAAACTTGAATATTTAATGGGTGAAATTGATGGTTTAATTTCTGAGGAATGGACAAGCAGATGTACTTATTTAACAGTATCAAAAGCTACATTGACTGAAAAGGTTCTTTTTTTCAATTTTATAATTTAATTACTGTATTTTTCAATTGAATTCGTATTGCTAATTTTGACATAAAGTAGGTTACTTGTGCCTTGGCTGCTGCAATACCAATAGTAACTGTAGCTTATTGGGAGCAATTTAAAGTTGCAATTGACAATAATGAAGAATTCCCAGGCATAAAGGACTTTGTCCCAATAATTAGCGAAACATTAGTTGACAAACAAAAATATTTACTTTCTCCAAATGTAAAACGGAGAACATTATTTCAGAATTTAATATTTGTACATTTCAGTACTTCTCAATACAAAATATATGCAAAAATTATTAGTATGGCAGGTACATAGTAAAAAATTAAACGAAGAATAAATTATTTAACTTGGTGAAGCAATTAAATACTGTTTTTAACAAGAAATCTATTATAGGTGGTAAATCACTTTTATACTCAAAGAAACATTTGACTATTAAAGAACTTTGTGCTCCAAATATTATTGTGCTACAATATCCTAATTATAATGAAACACAGTCAACGGAAAGTATTTTACCTGAATATGATTCAATATGTAAGTGACTATCATACACTAGTTTTGTGTTTTGATATATTTAATTATCCTCTGTTTTTTATTTCAGTCAATGCATTACAAGCAAATGAGTGTAAAATGATATCAGATTCCGAAATTCCTCTTTCAATATTACATTGTTCTGTAGAAAAATATTGCAATCCAAAATATAAATTTTCAAAGCTGTTGAAAAGATCACAACCAAAGTATCATCCATCTAAAATTTTAAATCTTGATACACAAGATGAAAGATCTGATTTGAAAATATTACCGAAAATAATTTCTAGCATTCAGCTTAAATCAGGACATACAAATGTAAAACATAGTGTACTTACAACAAAGATTATTCCTGAAACATGTGATAACTTTGATAGTCAAGCACTAGCTTTATTAGATAAGGATTCTATTGAACAATCTATGGAAGAACCAAAATGTAATAACCTAAGAATCATTGAAGAAACAAAAGATACTTTTACTGATGTCTTAACTGTAGAGGAAAGTGAAGAAATAATGCAACCTATAGGGAACACAAATTGTATTCCCGAAACAGTTGATTCATCTTATTCAGACATGTCACCAAAAAGTAATCAATGTTTTACACATAATATTGAAAATTTGAAAACACAACAAAACAGAAATACACAGGATACTGAACACACAAAGAAATTAGTGATTAGCAAAGAAACTTTACTTCACAAAGTGACAGAGTTAGATAAAAACGAGGACTTTGAATTACAAAACCCAGGATTGAATGATAATGAAAATCATAATAAAGTTGTTTCACAAAGAAAATCGAGTAATTTAGTCGAAATAAATGATTTACAAGACGAAGATGTAGACCAACAAATGATGAACTTGTCAATTGAACATAATTTACAAACAGCAATGAATAATAATCAAGATTGTAGTATAACAGATAGTAGTATATCAGAAACGTTAGAAGAACCACAAGAATCTAAGAGAACACGTAGATATTTTAGCGATGATAGCGATACAGAATTTCTTACATCTACCAAGAAAAAGATATGTTTAAAGAATTCAGATATTGAAAACACAACAAAATTACAACCAAGTACTTTCAATTCTTGTATTGTAAGTCCTATACTCCAGATTGTTATAGATGTAACATTTACAAATGAAAGTTTACGTTTGAAGTGTACATTACTTATTTTAAAATTGTAGGAGGAACAAAAGAGTTCTAACACTTTATTGGGATATAATTCATCATTTCTTCGAAACATTCTTAATTGCAAAAATTTTAAAAAGGTAAATTGCAAAATATTTAGTGAATCTTATACTAAAGACATTTAAAGAAATATTAATCTGTAACTTTCATCAATTTAGGTTTACAATATAACACCTACAAGACGGATAGGTTTAAAAGAGATGTATGTATGGAACTCTGATACATAACAAAGTTTAACTTGTTTTTACATTCCAAAGTTTAATTTTCATTACAAAGTAAATTAAAAATTATAAATGGATATCATTATTTTTATAACTTTTCAATTATTATTTTTATGTAATTTTAATTGATACTAGAATTTATTTCTATTGATTAATATTTTTGTTAAAATCACTTTGTGAATAGTTATTTATATGAAACATTTGTATATTAAATAGTATTTTTGTTTATTTATGATACATATATCCATAAAAAAAATTTTCTCTTGAGTATTTTGTATACTGCACATGTGAAAATAAGTGAAAGTGAAAAAATTTGACAAGCATAATTATCTGAGTTTAATAATTACTTTGCTTCTATCATATTAATGCTTCTGCTGTAAGCCCTATGAGATTACTGTTTTTGTGTGAATTGTACAAACATAATTTTCCTAAAGATAAATATTACTTCTTTTTTCTTAACGTTACTATAATTTATTACGTTATATTTCATATCATTTTTACATATATGTAAATGTATATTGTCCATGTTCATCGAATAAAATAATTTCCTAAAAATTTATTTATATTTTCTTTTACTTTATCCCAAGCTTAGTATAAAGAAAATCAGTATCAAAACAATTTTCTCTCTATCTTACTAGAATACTGGATGTTATAGATATAAAGTAACAAGAAATTTTTTTATAACAGATAAAACTGCTACTATAATTAATTTTCTAAATAGATTAACTTAAGCCTACTGAAAGAGACAACGCGATAATATTGCTTTATCCTATTTATGGAAGAATAAAATTTTACAAAAATTCACCAAGATTGCACATGTATCAAATTAAACAGATATGGAATTTGTAACGTTATCGATACATCATTTTTATCACAAAATAAATCGCCAAGCAACGTTATCGAATGTTTTCAGATTGAAAATGAATCTACAAATTACTGATTCTACAATGAAAATCTCAATTAATGCTATCTTTCGCGATAAGAATGTCTTCTCGACAAAACTGATTTTACGTCGCTTTCTACCACTCGTAACAGCAAATTTTATATTCTTAAATGTTTCAATCAGAATTCCCATCAATCATCAACCTTCAGATGAACCACGTTTTAGTACGATTTGATATCACGTTGGTTGTTGGTTTGAGTAGATACGACACGATATATAAAACTTGAACAATAAGTAGCAGCTTTAATTGAAAGTAGCCAACATGCGTATCTCCTTTCTGATCGCGACAATTTTTGTCGCGACCGTTTTGGCCGCTGACGAAGAGGTTCTGCCTCCCTTGCAAGGGTATGTTTTATTTCTCCTCTTTAATTTCAATTTCTTTTGAATCTTCCATTTAATTTTAATTTCCTTCTTTTTTTAATATTTTGGTCTCTCCTCTTTGAATTTTATTTTTCAATTATTGACAATAGTTTTGTATTTAGACACCTGCTTTCTACAAAAGCACAGCTTTAAAAGATATCTGGGAATTCAATTGTTTAAAATGGACAGAAATAATTTTTACTTTAACAACGTTTTACTTCCTAAGCTATCGGTGTCTCTTTCAAAACTATTGATTTCTATAAAGTTTTAGTTTCATTAGTTTTTCTTTTAATCTTCAGTCATTTAAAATAGATAGACAAAATATGTGATTATTTCAATTTTCATTATAGAATTATTACTGTGCAAGGGATATTATCGTTTCTTTAAAATATTTATAGGATGCAGAGTCTCCACGTTTCATACAAAACACCCGAGGAATTTTCACTTTTGAAAAATTTCGTGGATACTCCTGGCTTCGACTTCATGAAAAGCACTTCGGACTTCGTGGACGTTATGGTGACAGCTGACAAAGTAGAGGCGTTTAAAACCCTCCTGGAGGAAAATCATATGAATTACACGATAATGATCGAGGATGTTCATGAAGCAGTCACAGAAGAACGCATCACGCAAGAAGTGGAGCGCAGATTGCGAATGAGAAGTCGGGCTACTTCTGGAAAATTCCCGTTTACATACTATCCCAATTATAAAGAGGTAAGTAAAGCTGAAAATGTTAAGGGCCGTAGCGAAAAATAAAATTCACTTCCTCCCTTTAAATAATAAATTTCATCTTAGAAAATACGACTTAGAGAAAACGACAATTTAAATATTTAAATATTCAGACGTTTATCTGTTACGAACAATTATATTCATTATTATAATTACACATATTTTCATCTATTAACCCTTTGCACTCGAGAGGTGACCCTCAGTCACCATTTCATAAAATTTGGAAGATAGATATTAATTAATATATTAAATTTAATGTAATGTAACAGTGTGCAAGGTATGGAAATCAAATAATTCTACAATTCTATTATTATAAAATTCTTTATTTACTGCTCAAAAAAGTATCGTCAGTTTTTTAATAGAGAATCTTTGATTTTCTACTCTTCTCTAGCCGAAAATCTCGTCGAGTGCAAAGGGTTAAAAATTCATTTAGAAAAATCTGAAAATGCTTTTATCGCTCAAACCACTAAAAATTAAATAGGCGATTTTGCAGGATTGAACGTATCGCTTAATCTATTCATAGGTGACTGATTACCTGGAATACATAGCAAACACGCACAATGATATAGCCACAGTGTATACCATAGGTCATACCTACGAAGGACGACCAATGAAACTTCTGAAGCTGTCTACCGGTGAAAAAAAAAGAGCTATTTTCATTGATGGCGGAATTCATGCTAGGGAATGGATTGCTCCAGTGACAGCTCTTTACTTCATCGATCAAATAGTGGAGAACAACGAGGAGCTTTTGAGACTTACTGACTGGTACATACTGCCAGTTTTGAATCCAGATGGTTACGAGTTCACACATAGCAGAATCTCGGTAATGTCGTCGAGAAATTCAATTCGTCCTGCCAAAGCGTTAGGGAAAATTCGAAATAATACGTCTATCCTTCAAAATACGTTTCAGAACCGGTTATGGAGGAAAACGAGGTCCGACATAGGTTCAGCCTGTAAGGGAGTCGACGGAAATCGGAATTACGACATAGCATGGATGAGTAAGTTTCTATCTTTATTTACAATGCGATCACGTATTTGGATATATTTGAAGCAGACATCTTGCAAGAAGTCACGTTGAACAATAATTTATTATTAACCGTGATTAATTATATAATTCTGGTATAGATCAATCGCACAATCGTTTCCGTTTTATCGTGTGCCAATCCTATCGAACAAGAACAATTAATATTTTATCGATAACAGTGTGACAACGCGTGTGAGATGTCATATTACTGATAATCTGTTAATACAGATCGAGCAAATTTCGTGATAAAAAGGTCATAATATTTATCGGGAAAGAGAGAAGCGAATACTTTCTAGAAAAATTCATTTAAATTTATTCGATGAAATTTCACCGAGGCTACACGCTCGAAATTTTAATTAACTTTATTTCCTTTTATCGTTTTAGACGACTTCCTGGGTAGTATGAAATATGAAAGCAAATATTTCGGAAAAGCGTTCATTTAAATTTTTTCCTCCGAAATTCCACCAAGACTCCATTGCCGTGATTTTAATTAATATAATCTCATTTTATTTTCTATTTTTCTTCTCTTAAATGATATCACCGTGCCCTTTATGAATTAATGAAAATTTCACGATAAAAGGATGATATTACAATAGATGAAAGAAAATATTAGTCAGAGGAATTCGCCTGAATTTATTCCCATGAAACTCGACCAAGACACTATGGTCGTGATTTCAATGAGCATGATTAATTTTCTTCCGAGTTTTTTTTCCTTACGGAAACTTGACATTTTTCGTAGAATAATGTCATCTCGTTGAAATGGCCATGCGGGACGTTCCTATTGCAAATAATTTCACGGGAACGGGAGTTTGCGTTGTTAGCTAACACGTTTCTCGTCCACTCTCTCTCTTTCATTGCAGAACGTGTACCTGTTACGGTTACCTCGCCTATCGCTCTCTCTAACTTTTCTTTGGAGAGCAATTGTGCGTCGTTTTCATTGAAGTTATGATTGAGCGTGATAAAAACTTGCTCGTTACCGCACGGTCGTTACTTCTCTAGTCTCTCTTCAGCAGACACCCTGACTTTTGAGAAGTCTGACAAGTTGTTCCGTGACGTAACGAATGTCGACCATGGATTTCGTTGTGCTAACAATGTTCCCCGTTCATTTTCCCTCTGTCAAAACGACGATTTCGGTGTATCGATCTTGCGTTTGAGTTGGGAAAAGTAGATAAGCTTGATTATACAATATGGATATTCGTGAATGAAGCTGGCGAATTTGATGCGACTTGAGACTTACAGCAGGGATTAAAAGCGATCTGTGAAATATGTATTTCGACACGCGATGTTTAACACTTTGACTGCCACGCACTTTTATATAGCACACTCAGGGGGTCACGATAAAATTTCCATTATTAGAATATAATGATAAATTATCAAATAATATGACGAAAGTAAAAATGGTGCAAGTTGTAAACGTCTTCAATTAAAAATGCTCTATTTATTTACGTTGTTCAAATTTTCAAAGAATGGTTAAAATAAAACGAATATAAATTAAAGAAATTAGTATCGCCGAACACTGGTGGCCACCATGGCCCCCCACTAAAGTGTTGGTCACCGATGACCAATATGGCAGTCAGCGTATTAACCCTTTGCACTCGGTGATTTTTTCATCCCAGAAAAATAGTAGTTCGAAAATTTTCTGCCATAAAGTCAACGATATTTTTAAATCGGTAAATAAGAAATCGTATGCAAATTAAGACGTAGAATTATTTTACCTCGATATTCCACGCATCGTTAGATAATTGTAAATTTAATATATTAATTAACGTCCATCTTTAGAATCTGTTTAAATGGTGACTGAGAGGCGTCTCTCGAGTGCAAAGGTTTAATATAGCAAAAACATTTTCATTTGTTGATTTAAAAAATTGGTAAGATCGAGGAATTAATTGGAAGCGCACTTTAGCTCTAATTTTTCTTGTTTGCTGAATTTCTAGGAAATAAATTCGCGAAACGCGGTAAACAGAAGCCACGCCGTAGTAGCAACTCTCTAAATTGAGATACGTCTAATTCGTCCTGCTATTTGAAGGTTGCCTGTTACGGGAAATTCGTGGCAGCACTTCCACGTATTAAATTTCTCGCGAGGAAATTCGACGCGTGTGCTAAAAATTTTCGTTAGATTGCCCCTGACTCCCTTTCGCAAGATTGGTCGCCTTTCATCCACTGCAATTTTTCCTCCCCTTTATTCTACAAAAGTACAGCGGCACGCTCGCGAACAATTTTAAAAGAGAATTTATGACATTTATGAAATATCAAAAAGCGCGGTGAGAATTAATTTCGCCACCACTATTAATTCGAATGGAATCGCGCGCTTGCAGCAATTGGTGCATCCAGCAATCCGTGCAGCGATACTTATGCTGGACCTAAAGCATTCTCCGAACTAGAAACTACGTATATGAGTAAATTCATTTTGGACCGAAAACAACAGATCAAGGCCTACATTACTCTACATTCATATGGCCAGGTAATTCTACCAAATTTTGTTGAATTCTTTTTGAAAGCATACTAATTTAATTTTCTAAATATTCAACATAAATGTGCATTATTATTAATAGTATCTTAACCCTTTGCACTCGAGAGGTGACTCTCAGTCACCATTTAATCAGATTCTAAAGATCGACGTTAATTAATATATCAAATTTCAAATTACCTAACGATGTGTGGAATGTCGAAGAAAAATAATTCTACATCTTAATTTGCATACGATTTCTCATTTGCCATTTTAAAACTATCGTCGACTCTATGACAGAAAGTCTTCAAATTACTATTTCTCTGTAACGAAAAAGTCGTCGAGTGCAAAGGGTTAATATTGATCCTACCTACAATAGAATAATTAAGAAATGAACACATTTTTTATTAACGCATTTTAATCATCAAATCAATGACATTACATAATGGAATATTAAAAATATGACTTTTTCAGTACATATTATACCCATGGGGTTACACAACTGAACTACCTCGTAACGTAATGCAACTGGTCAGTAAACTTTTCTAATACATACTATCATATCAATGAAGATATAAATACATCTTTCATTACCATTACCTTTGCTTTACTCTTTCTAGAAACGGCTTGCTACTAAATGTGCGGATGCTATCGCTGAATATCGCGGTACTCGATACATCTTTGGAACCTCAAGCAATGCACTGTGTAAGTAACCTATTTTTCTAGCATAATATTTTGCCGGATGAAAGATCAAATTTATCATCGATAAAATGCCGCGTTTCAAGCAACATATCATCGAAATAATAACCATATAATTCTTTGTTGAGGAGTCGACTTCGTACAGTATATCATAGAATAGCCGTGATATACTAGCTCTATTGTAAGTTAATATAATAGAGTCACGTTAAAATAGTTGAATTATGGCCAGAAAAGATTAGTTTCAACGGCTGGACTGTATTTACTGTACTTTAACTATGAATTTTCTAGTGCGATTAAACGTAACTGTTGGGTAGTTAAGTCGCAATTATTTAAGGATTAGAATTCGAGACTTGAAAGGTTAAATTAAAATTTCAAGTATTTACATTTTCTCGGTAGAAGAGACATATATTGTGTCTTAATTAATTATGTCTACGTTTAAAATTTATCAGAGCATTAAAAGCTCAGTCATACGAACATTTAAGTATCGTGTCAGTGATAAAGAAATTCGTGATTGAAGAGTATCGCGAATACTTAAATTAAATTATTTAAGTCTTCGATATTGTATTATATTCCATATATTTGTATTTTGCTACCAAACTTTTAGATCCATCTGCTGGAGGTGGAGATGATTGGGCTATGGCCAAAGCAGGTATCAATATGTCGTTCACTTACGAATTACCCGGTGGAGACTCTGGATTCCTGTTACCAGTATCCGAGATCAAACCTGTTGGTATCGAGACATTCGAAGCTATGAAAGTGATTCATAAGCATGTCGTTCTGGAAACTTAAACGTGTAATGCTGTGGCTCACTCTGATTGTATAAACAAGGAGACCCAGCGATCCCAATGTACCAATTCGCATCGTGAAAGTTGATGCAGCTCTCACAATGTACCAACATGGAAGAAATTTCATGTATCAATAATAAATTCTATTTTGTATTAAAACAAAGGTATCCTATCAGCAACCTCACCTTTCTTATTCCGAAAACATTGAATTAATTACCAAGAGACTGCTCTGTTCTAAAGAAATATCGTGCCACCTGGCAAATAATCCTCACAGAAAGTTGAAAGGCGAATGTGTAACACGATTTTGTCCAGGCTATGCAAGAGGTTAATCAATACTAAGCCAACTCTGGCTACCTTGCAGGCTACCAACTGCTAGGAACGAGTAATCCACAAAAGCTGCTAGGTATTCCGCGTTTCCATAATAATTGCTCGTTTAGGTCTCTCGGGAGCTGCTCGTTGACCCAAAATGCGGTTGGTCCCGGTTGGTTCGCAACGAAAAAACCACGTGAGAAAAAATGGCCGGTACGTTTACGTTTGCGTTAAGGATGAAAAGTCGGCATGCATTCCCGCGGATGCCTCTTCATCCGTGAAACGAAATAGCTATTGTTCCGTGCACAACTCTCCTCGTGCCGCGACCACTTTTAGTTTTTCCCGCGTTTTTAGGTGGCCACTGCGCGAAAGCGAGAGTGCCTGAAGGAACGGGAAGAGAAGAGTGGCTGAAGGATTTGGTCGGGCTGAAGTGGAACACTTAGCACGTAGAGCCGGCCTGGTATCGTGCCCAAGCTCCTTTTCGCTTATTCCTGCCCTTTTCACCACCCCGTGCCTTGCGTTCGGTCTAATTGGAGAAACAACAGACTCATTATCCGTCGACTCGAGCACAGACGAGGGCTCATTTCGTCGAGCTGAGGGCACTGGGTCGTAAAATTTTTGTATAACGAGCCACTCCCTTGGTCGCGTCGCCTACTACCGGCCGGAGCATTCCTTCGAACTAGAGTGCGGTTCGCGAAGGTGACAGAGGGTTGGTTGGTCTTTGCCTTTGGCGATGCGGGAAAACGTTGGATTATCTTCCACTTGCGGTTTGTGTAACTGGCTAGGTCCAGTTGGACGTCTGTCTCTTTTTAATCCAGACGTGTCGTCGTTTTAACCTATTTTAACTGCAGTATGTGCCCACTGTTTGTAGGTTGATGATTTTTATTATACAATCTCATTGTTTGGAGGCTTAAATCTGTGTATGTCTGTACAGGAGAAATAGACATCATACGAGCATCGGATATTTAATAAAAAGAAAAGGCTCTTGAATTGTATGCAAGATGTTTGGATTATTATTAATGTTATAAGTGCAATTAAAAGCTGTAATACAAGGGGTTAAATGTGGTTAATTCTCATTTTGTAGTTTCAAAGTATGAAATTGTGTTGTGATTTTAAACGATTTCCAGGCTGATTCTAAAATTCATTATAATTTATAATAATTATCAAGGAGGTAATTAGTTCGAAGCCCAACGGGAAAATCAAGAGACCGGGCACATGAATAGTATGATTTAAGAATACTTCGATGATTTTGCAATTTTATTTGATTTTTCAATTTCGTACAGAAAGAGTCAAAAAATCATCGTTTTAATCAATCACCGAGTCCATTAAAAGACTTAACGTATTTTATTCAGATGATAATGATCCATAAAACATTGTTCATATATATATATATACATATATATATATATATGTATTTATAGGACTATGAACAACTCTCAACAAATAACTCTCGTTTCTAAGATCTAGACATAACTTAACATAGATAAATGTATCATTCTTGTTTATTTTTTCCTTAAGAAGAAAGAACGCAGGAAGAAAAGGTCTCGAGTTCTCTTTCGAGGACACCTCGATCGACGTTATAATTTTCTTGATCTTCTTTCTTGTCGACCGTCGACGATTCTTCTTTCTCTCTCTTAGAGTCATTCATTTCTTTTTTTTTTTTTTGGTTTTCTTTTTACGGATATACTCGGTGAATACGGATAAACTATATAGACCACTCTTTAGTAAATGATTAAGGTAGCTTAATCTACACATCGCTAAGGGTACGGTAACGCATTTCCTCGTCAAGTAAGAATCCAGCTTGTCATATTATGATCAGTGCTTCCTTCGTGGTTCCGATGCAAAATACTTGCAATATGATATGATATGGTTAAGATTCGTCGAACCACGGGATGTTTGGTCTCTTACACGTTTATTACAGAAAGGTAATTGTCGCGGGACTCGCAAAGGAGCCCGTATTTAACGAAAAATAAGTCGCACATAAACAAAAGAGAGAAAAACTTGGAAAATCGAAGAAAGCTATCGGGCAGATTTTTTCCCAGTACTCAACATGATTGTATTTAATAAAGAAATTCACGGAACGGCGATAAGGAAAAAGATCTTACGTTACAAATGTTTCTTTTCAAAATTACCACTAACACGAATTAAACGTTCGATAAAATCTGATTAAACATCTGCAGTTGATTTGTAATTAACGATAAAGAAATCGAAGAACCTTTATCGAATCAACATTGTATATATTGTCTGGAAATCTTCCAATAATATATCTTGTGATTGCCTCGTATCTAAAAGACCTTGTTTACAAACAAATTAGATTGTCGCTCTCTCGTAAAGTATGTCGAAATTTCCACGATCGAATAATCGCGAAAGGAAAACGAAAAACTGATTTTCACGTTGAAGAAGAGACCACTGATTTGATTGCAATCGTTCTAGGGCTGTCGAAGTTATCCGTAACTCTCTTCTTGATTATGTTTGCTCAATTACGATGGAATCACGTGAAAAATCTCGTTATTCCTGTCTGATGCAAACAATCGCGTCCTGAAGCAGACCTTACCGCTGCTTGGATATTAAAAATATATGCGAATATGTATACGATTAAAATAATATTAATAATAATAATAACAATAATGAGAATAATAGTAATAATTGGTAGAAATGGTACAAATACATATAATCAATGCGTCTACATCGTATCAATAATTCGTAAATACTTCTTCATTATCGATACGGTGTATGTAACGTTCCTGATATGATTCATCATACTCATATCCCATCCGACTATTTCATCTTGTCTCTATTAGGATAATTATATTACAAAGTTACAATAATAGATACATAGATAATAATAAATTACGTAAATAATACACATACGCCTACGATAATAAATATATATGCAATAGCGAAATTGCAGCACAGGCGGAACCCGCGTATTCTTATCAAATATAAATGTGAAAACGTTTAATCCTTACAAGCCATGTCCCTTTGTACCTTGGAACCACAAAGTATTACATGCAACAACATCGTTCAAAAATTTGCCATCCACGAGAGTCCTGATATTTATATTTTTCACTCGCACGCTGTGATTTTCATTGGAACATCGATCGATATCTTTAACAACATTTTTCAATTTTTTCTGGTTACTCTTACAGGTTGTTGTTTCAAGGTACACGTATATCGACCACACCTTATACGCAACTATCTTCGTCTCGGTAGATACATTATGTTAAACCAAAATCCATACACTTCCTTACAGATCCTTTATATATATTTATATATACGTGAGAGAAATAGAAATCTGCACACTCTGATGCACGGATTATTCGCAGCCCTAGTCTTTTCTCTTTGTTTAAGCATCGATCGTTGTGAATCGAGTCGAAGCGTTTCCCGAGGCATAACCATCACGAACGCTTATTATTTCGGTATGTCCAGGAATAGCTGGATATTCAGGGTGATAGCATTTTACGACGTTCAACGATAATGACACCTATGAAGTTAATTCCATCTCGTTGCACGTACATCATCCATCAATTATTCGTTAGATCGACCGCCGATTTTCTTTTTCCTTTCAGCGAGATGGAAACAGTTTATCGAAGATAAAATAAACCTCTGTGTGATTCGTGATTGAGAAGTACTACGACGCTTTACATGACGACAACACGTGTTTGATTTTTCTTCTTCGTCTTCATTTTCACCTTCTCCTTCTTCTTCTTCTTCTTTGGTTATATCTATTATATACGTACAATGAAAGGAAGAACCTGTGACTCTAGAATCGATACATGTGATTGCGAGTAACTGCAGTCTTAACATCTATTTCGCGTTCATAAATTAACACGAATAACGATGGAAAATATTCTCGGGTGTGTAAGGAAATTTTCATCGATAGACTACGTCAACGAATAATTCTCGAATCGTGTATTTCTAGGCGCAGTTTGATCACAAATGGCAGCACGAGAAACATTGCTTATCAATCCTCTCGCAGATATTTCTACTGCACGAACGAACTTAAAAATTGGCGAAAACCGTATCTGCGAGTTGCAATCACGAGTACGATATATCGAACACCATCAACGATTACCGTGTCCACGTGTATCCGTTCCAATGTTCGCGACACCATTATCTTTTGCACGTCGTGATCCTCACGACGAAGTCAGTATCCTTTTTTTTTTTTCTTCTTTTTATTCTTTTTTCGTTATTTTTACCAGTAACCGCAAGTAGATTTTCATTCTTCTAATCGATTATACTAAATTGGACGATGCTTGCCGCTGTTCGTTTTCGCTGGAGAAAAAGAAATCGCACTCACACACGTTCTCATCAAAAATACACGTTTGATATGCTAACCGTATTTCTTTTTCTGTTTCATTTTTTCCTCGCGATTAATAAACCCACGCATTGTGCTCTCTCTCGTGTATTCTTTCTCTTTCCTCTTTCTCTCTCTCTCTTTCTCTCCCTCTCTATCATCCAGTCGATTCAATAAAATCAACTTCACGCGGTGGATCTTACCTACCGATGGAAATTATAATAGAATTTCTTCTTCACTACCTTCCTCTTCTCTGATTCTGATTCTCTTCGTTCTTTGATATTTCTTTTTTTCTATTTTTCCATTTTTCTTAGTGATCAGTCACTGTCTAATCCATCTCGTTTATCAATGGGTTCGAGAAAGTGTCTTAATCATATGCATCGTGGCGGTCAACTCGACGCTGCATCAGCATCGGTTCTCAGGCTAAATTTATATCAATGCGATCGAAAAGATTTCCCAGGTTAATCGGGAGTGTATTTTCTTTCTATCTCGTTTTCTCTTCTCTACGGCGATTTAAAGCGTTTCGAGGTTCGTTCGAATCTTTCCCCTAATTAATCCTAGGAAACGTAACGGCTACCGTCTTTACGCTAACTTAAGGTTAACACGAATATTTACAACGTCCTAAACGGTAATTAAGCGTTGACGATTTAACATGCCCGACCGAGAACTAATCGACTTTTTATTACTCAGCTACGAGATTTACGGAAAACGGCTGAATTTATTTACAATCGTACTTGTAGATCGGAGATCGCACAGTTGTTTCGAAGTGATAGCGACAGAGAATAGATGATCGAGTTTTTCCCACCTATTCTTTTCATTTTCCTCGAATCATACTTTCAAACGCGATAAAATTGTGTATTCTTTGCAACTAAATAGGTCACACAATATTCCTCGTCTTTTTAAATTAATTACAATGGCCTCTGCCTGTACACCAGGAAGACATCTTTAACTTCGTATCCCAGCTTTCAGAAAGTCACTCGTACAGTTACTACAGGATACAAAATGACCAAAGGGAATGATGAAAAAATAATGTCGATCCGAATTTTTAACGAGTATCTCTTCTTTTACATCAGCCATCGCACAAAAGCTCTTCCCTTTCTGTTTTCGCTATAATGCCTGTATGAATATTTCTAAGGTCTCCGCGCCAGCATCCGTATTACTCGATCCCGGTTAATTTCGGATTCAGCGACGTGCAATTTAAAGAGTAAAATCCAGACGAAGGTTTCTTTGGGGAATTAAAAAGGGACGCGATTAATTAACTAATTCTCTCAGAGGGCAACGGACGTTCTCGTTACTGTGCGATCTACGCCGGGTCTCCGGAAGACTACCTGTAATTTTCATAAAACGCTACCACAAACGGACGGCCTGGTTCCCACCTATTTCTCAACGACGCTAGAAAAAGAATCCATTAACGTTGCACTCTACCTAAGAACCCTCCGCGGTGTCTACTTAAAGAATCTTCACTCGGTCTCACGAGAGGGAGAGCTCGCGAAAGCTGAACAAATCGGAACGAATACGCGAAAAAATGCAAAACGAATACACCTATACAACCGTAATCGTAAGCCACGTTTCTTCGCGACGTGATGTCCGAGAAAAATGGTCAACGTATCACTTGTACGACCACCGCATGATCCAATCTATGCACAACCGTAATCGTAAGCCACGTTCCTTCGCGACGTGATGTCCGAGAAAAATGGTCAACGTATCACTTGTACGACCACCGCATGATCCATCTATACCGTGACAAGGCGGAGATTTTATTAGAGACGATCGATAGCCGAAGACGATGTTCGTCGAGTAGAAATCTCGTGTTCTGGGTTCTTCGAGCGCTACCGGAAGTCACCGATCGTTGACCGTGATCCTCGAACGCGTCGCGTGTTCGGAACACCTCTAACGAAGGATGGGGATTGAAAAGGCGGGGGGAAAGAGAAAAATGGGAGAATAAAGAAATCGACACCTTCGTCTACGCGAGTGGAGGCTCGCCAAAAGCTCGTCGTCTCGAAGACTAGATTCTATAGAGCGAGGGCGGTGCAGAGGAAAGGCGAAGGAAAAAAGAGGATTAATCGATGAGATGGACGTAAATGGAGGCGAAACGCTTTAAATCTTTCCCGTTCGTCGAATCCTCGGAGCGATTCGAAATCCATCGATACTAAATTCGCCAAAATAGGTCCCAGATCTGGCATGAGACGACCCTGAATTATTTGTTAGGCATTTAAGCTATATACAGAGGAGTGTGTTATCCTTAAAGGAGATCGATATGTCTCATTGGTGGCGTCGGCACCGGAATCCCTTGACAGGGAAAACCGTGTTGCAATGACTAATTCTTTTTTCGACTTATTCCTTCGCGGACAAGGATCCATTAGTCAACGCCATGACTGGGCCGGAACTTCCCCTCGAGTTCGTGTCAGAGTTGAGTTCCAAGGACGAGTCCTGCAACGTACAACGCAAGCGTATCTGTAGTAATTAAGGATACACCAGAGAGAGAGAGAAAGACAGCATGCCATGAAAATTATTAAAAGTTGGATGGCGATACGTTTGACGGGGAGGATGGAGAGAGCTGCATGCGGAATGGCTGGCGAAATAAATTGTTATTAATCAAATGAACGAACGGGGCGGGTTAAAATCTGCGGGGATAAATTGTACGGATCACGTAGGCGTGGATTTTATAGGAAAGAACCCTCTCGAGGAATCTTTTTCGGTGGAAAGAGATCGATGGTTCAACTTCGAGGAACACAGATAACGAATATCACAGAGCGTTCCTTAAATTTTCTTATTTCAGCCTCGTTTCGAGTAATTCCTATCCGAATGCGTTAGCTAACTAGAGATTCGTTAATAAATTAAAATTAAAGTTGACAAATTAAAATTTTGATAAAAGAGTTCTATTTACCAGTACTTAAATATGTCAGCGCTGAAAATTAAATAACCAGAGACGCTTTTCGAGCAAGAAACGCAAGACATTCTCTCTACCTAGTATCTCTCTTCGATCGCTTTAAGAGTCAAAGGAAGAGGATTTACTTGGTTGAAAAGCGTTAATAGTCGGTCGTGAAAGGGATCGTACGTTTCAGTGGTGCGTGTAGCCGTGAGGAAAATCGCAATGAATTTTTCCAACCGTGTATTACGACGTTGCTGTAAGTGCATCACGGAAATCTTCAAGCTCTATCGTGAAAGCTATAACGCGTTTACGTGCGGTGATTACGCGGGTACGACGGTTACGTGGGTATAGTGGTTTCGCAGAGCCATTTGCCAATGATTGTCCCGTGCGAATGCGAAACCAAAATGGCGCGCGAGGCACATTCGGTCCGTGGTGTGATTTATCGAGGAAAGGAAGCTTTCCTCTTCGCGTTGCCACGCGCGTGTCGATGCTTTTACGACCACGACACCGTGATGGTACCTGTCATTCAACCATCGTTATTGGTTGTCATTGTATCGATTATAAGAACCATCATTATGGACGGGACAATGGACGACGGATTGCTTTTATCGAAATCGAAATAACGTTTCGTCAGATTTTCTTTCGAGGAGCGAAGCGTGCACGAAGTAACGAACTTTCGTTCCTGTAATGGATGTCTTACGATACAATAAACTTTCAATTATTTAGTCGCGAATTATACGTATTTCGTATAAATAAAGATGTCACAGCTGCGTGTAACTAACAGTGACATCGATACCGAAAAGGCAATAAATAGAGCGAAGGAATTCGTCGACTATTCGATTCCAGCGTGGCTGTATCTCTATTTCTGTGTTAGTCAGTCTCAAGCCAAATTCCAGAGAATGCACTGCATTCTATAATTCCGCAACTAGTTTTCGATCGAGTGCAGATTGTATTTTAAGCTAAATCCATGTTCCTCCGTATAGTTTCGTTTTTATTAACAAATCAAGATTTCTATTTTACATTCCATCTTGAAAATAATGGCACCAAAGGAATGTATTTGGTTTATTTTTAAATGTTACACTCCGATTTAGAGATATTTCAAATACGACTGTTTCATTTCGTTAATTATTCTGATTTTACAAAGCACTATACGTAAGACTAATTAGTTACCTTCAAAGTGATATAATAAAAACTAATACGTATAATGTAATTAAACTGGAGAAACACAGAGCTGTATAAAATTAATAAATATGATTTAATAAAATAAAATAGCACGGATGGAATTTAATTCCTGCGAAATGAATATTACGTGTATACGAAAGTCTATAATAATCGCGTTGCAAATCAAATTAATACGTCCCTCGTATTTTACTATTTTACATTTGCTCTCTTTTTTGAGTGCGAGTGATAAAATATTGTTTCGAATCTACGGTAAAGCGAAGGATTCACGATAAAGTTGTATTCGTAATAATACACGCGACTGGTGTATTTAAAGCTTTTCCAGAAAAATAAAATTCCACTAATTTGATACGCTCGTATTCCCTGCTGTGTTCCATCATTGACAACAGAGGTGGATGATATTGACAATAACATTAACAGAACCAGATGAATTAATTTTCATGGCAGGAAGGGAGTCGAGAGACGCTCGAAACGGATAAAATAAGGAATAAATTAGAAGAGATACGTGAAACGAATAAATATGGAGAGTACTCACAATGCTGAGGGCATGCATGATGCAAGCTTGTGTGGTGTTTTCGACGTGAATCAGCTCGTCGCATTCCTCATGGTCCAGTCCATTTACATCAGATCGTATTTTAATCGGTGACAGAGCTGCTTCGTTGTCCGTTGACTTGCCGCTGTCAGGGGACGGCAATAATTCGTGTCCATCAAGATCCTCCTCTTCTGCGCGTTCTTCGCAGTCCGATGCTTTGGTTTCCTGTCACAAGCATTATAAAACGGAACGACTTAAATTTATGCCATAATAAAATGTCACTTCGCGTATTTCATAATGCGGAAGATTTCGGCACTCGTAAACTAAACCCCCAATCAAATAATTTTACGATATAACTACCCATCCGTACCTAAATAGAGTATCCGCAGATAATAATAATTAAAGTGGTATGTGTGAAGTAAACGACTAAATATAACCTCGTTCCTATCTTAATAAAAATCAACCGTAAGCTTCGAGAATATTTTTCATTCTTACAAAGGTAAACTCCGAAGATCCAAATTCGATATTAAGTTTCACATAATATCGAAAATGGTCATATAAATTAGGAAAGGATAAACTTCGTTAATAGCAGCTGTATGTTTTCAGTAGCTAGATAAATAAAATATCCAAAGCCAGACGTTTTAATTCATTTCATAGTTTCAATATTAATAACATTTTTCGAAGTACTGGTCAGAGGAAGGACAGAGGAAAAATGGATTGATTCGTGTCACTGTGGAATAATATTTTTCTGAAATATACTTTGAGCTCCGGGGACTATGAATATTATCTTTTTCGAACATCGAACAATGGAATACAAAGGTGTGATCAAGTAATCCGCGAATAAAGTTGTACAGAGGGTATAACATTTAAAAATATCCTAGGAATCGGAAGTATGCGATCAATTGAGCGCTCTCGCTTGACCTGTTTCACTTTTCTTTTGTGCCGAGATAGTAAAACGACGGACGGTACTCCTTGTCTGACGCGTATCGCGCTAGTGACAGGCTCTACTCACTTTACCCGCTTGGCTGACCAAAGCGGACCTATTCAACTTCCTCATATTTTTTTTTTTTTTATCTAATGTCTCCTGTATCGTGTACTCGCTAGTACATTGCATACGTGCATTATTAATAGTGCATTGCTTATTTCACATATTCGTTTTATATATCTTTGCATTCCTCGCTACACAGAATAACGAGATAATACATTATTTAGTAAAACAACGGAACTACGCGTGCGATTATCTAACACGAGTTATTCTTTCAAAATCTATTCTTATCGCACGAATGAATATTACAAACGTCACGACATTTTACTTCAAAGGCTTTCACGCTGTCGTAAAAATTGATTTTAATTAGTATCGATGTCATGGTTCAACAGAGAGATTATACTATGCGCATTTTTAACACGTATCACTATTATATTAAAATTAATTCTCTAATTGTTATTATAATTAATTATTTATAGTTACTCGCACTGGTTAGTTTCAAATATTATAAATATTCCGAAAGGATCATCTACGAATAGTTTATTCAGTCATCCACCGATGACTCGCAGTAGATCCGAAATATTTTCGTTTTATTTTATTTACTATGGATAACAGAGACAATCGATAGCATATCATCAACCAGATATACGATATTCCATTGCTGGAGCATGTCATGGCGAATCTGTTGTACTCGAGAAAAAGGAAGACGTTAAATTCGAGAAAAGAGGAAAAACAATGATGACATGGAGCAGTAGCGGGAAGAAAATTTTCTTTCGATCAAGGGAAAACAAAACCACGCTCAAGATACAATTAATAGGAGTTAAATATTACTTAGTTTCAAATATTACAAATATTTCGAGAAGATCATCTACGAATAGTCTATCCAGTCATTCACGGATAGTTGGTTAGAAATATTTTTGCTTTATTTCATTCATTATAGATAACACAGACAATCGATAGCATATCACTACCCAGATATGCGATATTCCATTGCTGGAGCATGTCATGGCGAATCTGTTGTACTCGAGAAAAAGGAAGATGTTAAATTCGAGAAAAGAGGAAAAACGATGACATGGAGCAGTAGCGGGAAGAAAATTTTCTTCTGATCAAATCCACGGAAAACAAAAGCACGCTCCAGATACAATTAATAGGAGTCACGATAGCAAGAGTGAAAATAATAAGGAGGTTCTCGAACCCTGAAATCCGAAACAAAAGTTCCGATTGCCTGATAGCTCGATCCGTATACTTCGTCGGTGCTCTGGAGTTGACATATCGACAGAGAAACATATGATGAAGTAATATTTTTCCAAGTTGTACGTCGTTCCCTACGGCGACAGGATTTCGTTCTTTTGTTGCAGAGTTTCATTCCGTCTGCTCATAGCCTTGTCTTAAGCACCGGCAGTTCACCCCACCTCGCGATATTACGATTTGCCGTGTTTCCTCCTTTTGCAACAGGAAACTTATATTGTTTAAATTGACTGCCAGCGTTATTATTGCTTTCCTTTTCGACGTATTCCAATTCAGCCTTTTACATAGCTCGCAGGAATTCCTCGAGCGATACCATCCTCGTGTAACGTCGAATCGACGCAGAGACGTCGAAAGGAGACGTTCCGTGGTTATAGTCGCCAGGCAACGTTAATGATCGTAACAAGAATTCGATTTTAATTTCAGAGACTTTCGCCACGGTGATAGACACGAATCTTTAGCAGTACCAACTCCATTATTCCACCATCATTTTTCTTCCATGTTCGGGCGACTGAGAAGCACTAAATGAATTCCTTTCGGGAAAGCGAGAAACTTCTTTCGATTGTTCTTTCCAATATCGTATTTACTCTGACGCGAGACTTTCCGAGTTGATCTATATAAATCTTCCTCGATTTTTAACTTCAGAGACTAAAAGGAGAAAAGGATTGAAAAAAATACGGGGAAAAGCTATGAATTACCGTGGAATTCTCGCGTTTCCAGGAATAAAGAATGAAAATTCGGCTGGCAGGATGGACGTTCCCGATTGTAGCGGTAACTAGGTCAGAAATATTTCCAGAATTAAAGCTAGGCGAATAGACGGTGTCGTATTTTCTTTTCAAACCCTACCCGACCAAGCCTGTTCATTCTGATAAGATTGCTCAGTCATCGTTCGCTACTTCACGTTTCGAGCCAACAAAAATAACGAAACGAAAAATCCATCAGAACGAAATTACTTTTCCTTTAGGGAATTTAATTTCCAAGTTACATATAAACTATCAGTTAACAATTGGCGGAGCTTCGGTTCTCGTGGTCTCGGCTTCTAGAAAATCGTTCTCGAATGATACCCTCACTCCCGTTACTATTTTCGTTATGGGAAACGAAGAGCAAATTTTCGCTACAGTATTTCGCAATTTCGAGATTGCCGTATTTCTCGGCATTTTTATTTCGCTCGTATATTCCGTATTTGATGCATTTAATTTTCTAGCATACGATTGATTTTGTCCGAATTTTATCAGGTTCGTTACTTTCTTAGATTAAGTGACATTTTCTGCCGAACAGAATGAAATAAACCGAAATACATACACGCGTTACGAACATATAATACAGTTTCAAAGTAAAGCATGGCATGTCACGATTTAATCAAAATTTCAGTTTGTTTGTCAACTAAATTATAAAATATTCGATTTACGTACACGTTTATTGGAAAAAAACGAGCAAAAACAAATCTATTATTTTATTATTATTTTTGAAGAAAATTGCAGAATTTAATGGAATACTGATAAGAAGGAACAACGATGTTCGAAACTTTGAACGACGATACATTGAAATTGAAAAACATGACACGCGATGTTTTTCTTTGCAACGGTAAATATAGGCGTTTGCTTTTGTTTGTATGAAAAATATTTTTTGATTTGTTACAAACTTACTTGAAAATCTTGCGGTGACGGCGATGATTCCTTCTGATGTTGGCTTGGACTTTGCGGAGGGCTCGGGGCAGATCTGGGACTCTGGGGTCGAGTTCCCAACTCGTAAATGTTGATCATGTGAGCTGCCTGAGCGTGAACCATCAATTCCCATGCTGAAGGGAATGATACCTTGCAGAGAACGCAGAGCAGAGCCGTTGTAGAGTCTCCTTGGAACATAAACACGATACCGTTGTGTTTGGTAATAACTTAAAGATTGTTGACACTGTTTGTTAAATATATGTCAGTTATTACAATATTGTCATTTTCTTTTCCTAGGTGAATCAGGATCTAAACTTTGCTGAATTTCTGTGCAATTTTAACGCGCCATAAGAGAATTTAATTTTGATAATTACGCGCAAACGTGAGGTTGCAGATAGATTTCTTCTAACTCGTAAAATCTCAAGTAAAATAACGGTAATCCATGTTTGACAACAAAATAATATAATGCTAGTAGTTAATTATCAATTAACTTCTAATTTCCTTCTATTAGACATTTTGTTATTAAATTCAGCAGAGTAAATAACCAATTATTTAAAATTCTGTCATTTAACCTCACGACTGTTTTCATAATACATCTATAAATAATTTTTCGACATACATTTTTGTTCGTACTATGTTATTAACCGTTCGAATTCTTTTGTCCGGCGTTACTCGATATCAATTTGTTTCACAAGTTATATGTCACGTCATGTGTCACACTCTCACTTGACATTTTTCCAAAAATTACAAATATAATATATGAAAAGAGACTTGTTTAAATTGGATACCATCGACAAACTGTCGTTTCCAAAGTAAAACACCGAAAATAATATGAAGTTATCGAATAGAAAATTGAAGCATATTAGGGACACAAAGAGTTAACACGGTTGCGATACAACATGGCCAGAATTAATCACGTTACGGGGGAATTGAATATATATACATACTCAAATTCGAGAGAATCAAAATAAAAATAAGCATCCAAACTAAAGCATCTAAATCAATAATAAGTTACCAAGAAAAAAATTCAAGAAAATTAGGAACGAGAATTAGGATAGCAAAGCGTTCACACGATTTCGATGCAACACGGAATAAATTAACCACGTTACTGGAAAATTGAGCGTATACGCGTAAAATCGAGGAAAACAGCCATCCTGTATACTTTACTGTATCTCTCAAACTGAAATTTGTCCGACGACATTCTTTCGCCCTTTTCTCCCTACCCTTGGATCCTAAACAAGCCAGGCTAGGAGGAAGACTTAGCCCTTGCACGCGACGCAGCTGCGTTCTCCGCGATAAAATGCCAAAATACAATTCCACTGGCGAAAAAGGAAATGAAGATACGCGGAAGAAGGGACCGTTCTTGAGATCCGGCTCGAATTCCATTTTTACACCTGCCTCATCGAACAGACGCGATAAAGATAAAGAAGACGGGAGAAGGGTGGCAAGGACGGCAGTATTTCGAAACCGGCTGGGTCCTCGAATTTCGACGGGAGCTGGATCTTTATTGAAAAATTTCTTAAAGGCGGGAAACGCAGCCGTGGAATTCGCGCGATCCCTTTGTTAAAGCGTCATTCGATCGCGGCTCTAACGGACGCGAACGTTTCCGTTGAACGCGTGCTAACGGAAGGGTAGATTCGGCCGACAACTTTTCTTTCGAGTACGTACTTGGAGCTGTTCCATTGAAGGTGTGACATTTACATGTGAACCGCAGTTTGCAGTAATTTCGCTTGTGCTCCAGCAACTCGCCCAGGTCTGTAAACATCTCTCTGCAGTTGCCGCAGATCAGGATATCCGGGTTGCCTGGAACACGAGAATTTACGAATTTACCAACTGATTTTCTCCATTTTCACTACGGTATAATTGTTTTAGTTTGTTCCATTATTTTGTTTCCTCTACTTTTGTGCCGTTCTATTTTTCGGTGACAGGGGGGTGTTACTTTAGCTTTGAATTTTTATTTTTCGTTATTTATTCCACGTACTTTGTGTTCTTTTCTATTTTAATTCGTCCCGCGAAGATTAAAATGAATCCTGCTCTTGGTACAATTATTCCTAGTGGCTTTTAATTTGGATTAATTCCACGTTCGATGGAGAATATTAAAACGTATCTATTCGCTGTATTACGAGAAATAATGGAACGCATTTCATTCAAACAGCCATTTCGATTGCAACAAGGATAAATGTAAAACTGGGCAGGCTCGTTCGATACGTGAATTAATTTTCGAATCCAGTCTTAATGCAGTCTCTGAAAGTTCCGAAGTTAATGAAAAACGTTATATCAAAAGAGAGTAGGATATTAATATTTCTTCGTTTGATCGAAAACCAGGAAAAATTTGCAAACAGAATTTCAACCCTCGCTTCCATTCTTCCCACCCGCTTAGCGAGAAACAAACTGCATATCGTTCACCACGAGACAGAAATACAGTTTCCCCGCGAGTATGCCGGTAATAAGACTTAAATACACAAATAAAATCAGAAGCTCGTAAGCTAAGCCACAGGTCTGACGCGAAATCCTATCAGCTTAATACCTATTAAAGTAACTTCCGTCGAAAGCAGGAGCCCGCGATTACAATGAAATTTTCATCCCACCCGGCAGACATATAGCAGTTCACACACGCGTATAATTATTTCACCACGAAACTTCCACTCTACGCGCTTGTGTCCAATAACTCGAAACTTTTTAAACGAAAACGTAAATGCTAGCCGGACTCTCCACCGTCGCGATCTCACCCCCGCCGCGCGCGACAAATAATAACGCTCCCGCCGCGGTTCCCCATTTTTCTCCAGTTTCTCCCGGTATTTAAAGGTCGTCCCGCGCGTGCACACGCTCGCGATTTCCGCGTAATTAAAGCACGTACCGCGGCGGAAACAAGCGTAGACGACACGCTTCCCTAGCGCGAAAGCCACCCTTACCATCGGCGGGACCAACAGGGGGCGAGATCAAGCTACAAGCGAACTAACAAACTGTACTCTCGAACGAGCCTTCGAACGACTCTTCCTCGAACAGACCACGCGACACGCTCGAGATGCTTGCGACCTCTTTTTCTGGCCAATTGAGTCACGTTTCTACGCCCTTTTTCTCTCTGTCGTTGGCAACTGTGGACGAGGGTGGTTGCAATGTACCGGGTGGATGATACTCACTGTACACTTTCAGCTGGTTCAGGTCCGGAACGGTGGCCGTGTTCGCGGCCGGTTGTTGTTTCTGTTGCTTGAGATGCTGCGACCGAGCAAGCGGCATCAAACGGGGTCTCTTCAACGGCGGCGCCAAACGAGGTGGAAAAGCAGTCGACGCGTAGTAACTGAAAATAAAGTTGCAAGTGAGTGCCAGCAGACATTCCTCCGGGAACGGCGAACGATTGTTTCGCACGCAACGCCGCCCCTTGAATATTTAATGGGGGTGAGACCGGTGGTGCCGGCGAACGACCGGTTACGGTACGCCTTCGAACGCGAGAATTTCCGTGATAACGTCCGCGACAACGCGTTTATCTGTCCTATGGCATCGAGGTCTGCGACGGTTTTTAGTTTCGCGTACACGCCGGAACGGGCTTTTTAAAGGCCACTCGGAAATCCTGGTCGACGGGGATAATTCGGTTTGCTCGAGTATTAAGAAGCAGAAAAGAAAAAGAAAAAAATTAACCGAAGAAATAATGAATTTTTATAGTTGTCTGGAATTATTGGGTTTATATTTGTAGAATTTATAAAATTCCTAACATTTATGTAGGATCACCTTGGGTAGATTGACTAAAATAGCGTTGTTTTACTTCTTTTTAAAATCTGTCACACAACTTTCACTGCACTTGACAATTTCGACTTAACAAATTTTACAATACTACCCGTTACTAATTCACATTGATCCCGGACGAGACCCTAAACCGATCCCTATATTTATGTTTATATATAAATTGTACAATGTATAGGAAGTTTCGAATAATAGAAATTACGATAATATTACGTGATACTTTTTTATTGTTATTTTAGGACAGGAGATTAACAATGTAAAAGAATCAAGCGTTCTTTAACACTAGAACTACCGATCTTTAATGGGTGCCTAACTATAACGTGCACAGATTATAGTAATTTCATCGGTACGATGAATGTGAGTGAATATATTGATTACAGTTCTTTCTTAATACGAGTTGATACCAATTTTATTCTTAAAGCAGGTATATGTGTTCGGTGATTGCAAAAAGGAAAATTCTGGGACCAGTCATTTTCACTGGGTTGGTACTTCTAGTGTTAATACTTTGACTGCAACGCACTTTCTATATGGGATGCTCAGGAGGGCCACCATAAAATTGCCATGATATAATGACGAATTATTATACTTTGACTGCAACGTACTTTCTATATGGGATGCTCAGGAGGGCCACCATAAAATTGCCATGATATAATGACGAATTATTAAACAATAAAGAGGAAAAGTGGTGAAAATTACTAATGTCTTCTATTCAGAGTTCCCTATTTATTTACGTTGTTCAAATATTCAACAATTAGTTGGAATAAAACAAATATACATTTAAAAAATTAGTATTGTCGGGCACTGATGACCACCATGGCAGTCAACATGTTATTAACAACTGGAAACCCGTTGTCGATAATTTATTAACTTCGCCGAGTGTACAGAAAGCTATGTTAAATAATATTTAAATTTTTCAGAGTTTCTCGTACAGAAAAATTACCGAAGATTTTGTGGAAGAATTAGTTTTAAAGGTTTTATGTAATATTTTTAGCGCAGTTTTAGAACAATTGACTCGTAATACAGTTATAAAAATAGGTAAAACAAGACTTGGTGGAAGAAAAAATAGAAATTTATTTTGAACAGAAAGTTTTAAGCATCGATTAAGCGCTCTTTAAAAATTCTGGAGGTGGGGTTAACTACTTTGATCAGTTAACAGCTCATATATGCATAATGGGCAACTTTAGTAATGTTCACACGCAGATCAATTACTTATTCATTTATTTTTGGCTGAAAAACCGTGAGGCTGCTGACACAAAATCTAATAATAATCAATCGTTCGTGCAACATGCATACAGGTAGTAAAAACTTTCGGAAATTTGACCGGCTAATGGAAAAGAAATTCGGAAAAACGAGGAAAAAATCGGCGATGTTGCCGAGATATTAGGGAATAAAAGTTGAAGCGAGTAAAGGGCGAAGTTGAAGGGAAAAGTGGAAGATTTAGAAACTTTCGCCGGTGAATCAGAGCGTAGAAATTTTATAAAAGGGAAGGAGAAAGTCGAAGCTTCGGAGATTTTAGGAGCAAGGCATCAAAGAATAAAAATCAAAGAATAAAGAAGAATTGCAGAGGAAAGTGCGAAACATTGAAACATTAACGACAAGCTAAAGTACTCTGCAGAGAAAGACGAACAAAGTGGTACTTTTGTTTATTCTTTCTTGCTCTGCAGCAATATTCAGAAATCTACCGATACGATTAACTGGACATTTACGACAATTTTACAAATCTTGTTTTGTCCGATTTTTTAAACATTCGCAAGCAAGTAACAATTTCCAATTATATAAATCATTAAATATTATTTTACCTTTCATTTAAATTCGATGCCTATATTTCAAAAAATAAAAAATCATATAGCTACCATATTATTTTAATACACATTATTCATAAAGACAGAAACCTAGTTCAATCTTCCCTTATTATTTTTATTTTGATCCAATCTTACCTATCCTCAACGCCAAGCATGAGCAAACGAAAAGCTCCACCTTTCCAAAGTCGATATTTTCGAATCCAAAAGAATTAAAAATTCACGTTAACTAATTCGATCGATCCGTTTTGTCACTGTAGCTTCTTCCATCGGAATAATATCCCATTTCGCTTGAACATGAACCAAGGGAAGGATATATTTAATTACAACGCTTTACTATTCGCTTAAATCGCGCGTTCGTTTATTTTTACGACAAAAGGGTTGCGAACGGGCATCTCGAAGAACGTACAAATTGTACATTTAATCAACTCATTTAGACGCAACAGCACGGCGGAACGTGTTTGCACGCAAGCAGCCGGCGTCGTTTCGATTAAAAGGACGGAGCTGAACGGTCCTCGTCGAATTTCTAATAAAACCCCCGGCGAACTTGTCCTCGGGACGCTAATTCGCCGAAATTCCATCCACTTCCAGGCTGCTCACGGCCGCCGACGACACACACCCCTCGGTGCACACACACGGGGCAAAAACGGCGACGACTTCGATAACGATTCAAAAGACGTCCGTCTGCACGTCCACCTAACTGAATTTAATCGGATGTGTTTAGACTTTTGATAAAATCGATGCGACATTGTCGCCGCGCGACAAGCCACCCTGGAAACGGAGAACACGGCGAGTTTTCACCTTTTCTCGAACGCAGCGAAGAGGGTTGAAGAGCGAGAGAGAGAGGGCGAAGAGAAGAGGAATCGCAACCCCTCGCCGTCGTATTTATCCGGCTATGTATTTCTCCCGTCTGTCCTTGCTGCTTTCACCCCGCCAAGCCTTCGTTGAAATAAAACTTCCTCCTCTTTTTCGCCTCCTTCTGCTTCTTTTCTACCTTTTCCCTAGTTTCACCGTCCTTCTTTCCTCTCCAACCCCCGTACGCTTCGCTCTCCTCCTCTTTTTGCGCGCCGAGAACCGTTGCGAGGCTTCTTCTTTCCTGTTTAACGCGTCTTCGTTCCATCTGCTTGTTTACGCCCCGCTATTTTATTTCGCTTCGTCGTTGGCAGGGATGAAAATTCGCTCGCGAAGACACAGGGGTTGTTTCGACGACGCTCGGTTAGAACAATAACCGGCGATATAATTAGCGAAACCGTCTTCTGTCGTCACTCGAAGGCATTCCGACGATGTTATTTCGGTTTGAAATACTGATTAAAAAACTTTTCGCTTAACTAATGACGTTATTACTAACTACGGCATCTCTCTGTTCGGCTCGCTTTTATCATTGTTATTTGTTTCCCACGAGGTTGTTAGCGTATATTTTTCCCTTCTTCCGGCTTTCCAACGGCGGTTGCGGCTTCCCTTTTGCTCTTTTCGTTTATGCAACTTCACGTACGGGAGTTTGCAGATTTTTCAGAGGCCCCTCCTCCCTTCCGATCCTTTGTGCCGCGATAAATTTCTATTCCATCGGTTCCAACCGCAGAACTGCCTAAAGCTCTTTCGTATAAAATATATCCCATATCGGATTTATTTCGATTCGTGCTCTTTTAATTCGTAAAACGATAACGCGAGGGAAAAAGAGAAAGCGTCGTGAAATGGCTTTGATGAATATTGTACACCGAGTGCAATTCTTACGATATTCGTGGCACACAAAGAATGACACGTTCGGATGACAAATAATTCCGCGACTCCAGTAGCAAGGCAAATATCCGTTTGTTTCAGGAATGGTATTCGGTCCTGAAAGCGAAATGCCTTTTGGCTTCGGGAATTTATTCATTCCGACGTCGAATTAAAGTAAAAGCTACTCACAAAATATGCTTCTCTTACCGAATGATTGATAAGAGACATAAAATAACACGGAAATTCTGTTTTTTTGTTCAAAGCTTGTTGGAAGCCTCTAAATATATAAACTATATATTTTTAACAACTACAACTCGGTTCTTAAGGGTGAAAATATCCCTTATATATATTTAAGCGTTTCTCTATTCATCTACGTTTCGTTAAAAATGCAAAAGGTACGAAAAAATGTTTGGAATGGCAGTAGCGGCGAATCTTTTATTTAAATTAAAAAGCTTTCCATTTCGATGGAGTACATTGCATTGCAAGGATTCTGCCGAGTAAGAGTCTCCACCTGAGTGCGAAGGGTTAAAGCAAAATTTATCGGTACCCTTTATTTAACGCGACATCAAAACGAATAGACTTCTAAAGCCAAAAAGGATACATTTATTTCACTAGCGAATATCATCCATGATTTATTAAGCCACTTATCCCCCAAATTGCCCGCTATATTAAACCAACCCCCAGATTCTGGCCTACCGTTCCCGTTGCCATACGTTTCGTCATTATTTCCCGTTCTCGTCGTGTCATTTCTTCCCCTGACACATGTTCCTCTCTTCAGCCAAATCTTGCCTAGCCCCCATGTCCGGTTCCCTTTTTCCCGCCCTCTCCCCAGCTCCGTCGTGTACCAACCCCCTGGCAATAGCGTGACACAAGAGACATCCACGAATTCGTGCCTTCGTGGCGTTGTTAAAAGTTCTCCACGCCGACAGAGTTTCACTCTGTTTCACTTTGGAACTTTCGGATAATAAGCGCGAAACTGGCGTGAAAGAGAGAGAGAGGGCGAGCCGGAGATAGCGAGGTGGAGGAGAAGAGCGCAGAGAGGGGC